TTCATTACCGGTTAGAACCTTACAGACTATATTTTCCCTTTTAAACGGTACGTTGTCAATGAATCTTTATCTTACAATAAGAAAGTGAAACGTTTCACTTTAGATATATAATAGATAGGGTCCCGCTTATATAAAACATGTCAACTCTTGAGATTTCCTCAAGTCTACGATTTCCTACAGACAATACATCGCTTGAGAGTTTCCTCAACTTTGAGATCAGTGTTTAAGCTCCCATCTTCATTTGGCCACAGGTCTCGTGTAGATCAAGTATATGACCTTTATGCATAAGCTGTTGCAAAATGCTCTGATAGAAACTTCTTACTTATGAAGGCCAAAAACCATTGCGTGTGCTCTTGTTTGCTGAACAACTCGGCAACAATTAGTTTTGACATTTAACCACAAAGGTTTAACGTCAAGCACTTGTCTATATAACTTACGTGTATATGTAAATACATAATCAAATAAAAATCTCTCTCAACCTACCGACCTTAACCTTTTAGAAGTAGTAACCAGGAACACAATTATTTTGTAGGCCTTGTAGGGTAAGTTGGCGATTTAAAGAATTGGAAAAGCTGTGAAATTTGATTTATGTTTTTAGCTTTAATTTTGTAAAGATAGATTAGAACAACGTTCACAGAAACAACTCTAATAAGATAAACTGCTGTACAGAAGAGAAAAAAAAACCCACAAAAGACACCAATACATATCGCATTTAGCTTCAAGAACAAGTCACGAATTATACGAGCTATCAGCGACGTGATATATAAACAATGCATCACTTGGCCTGCTATTTCATGATGCATAATCTTAAGGTATTTGTCGTAAATCTAAATAGCATATACACAAACATCAAAAAATGCATCTTATAATTGTTTCAGACATAATATATAATGTAGATAGAAACATGTCAATACAAATAAGTCTACAGCAGCAATTATAACAAACTCAGCGATAGAACCGATGGTTGACGAACATTTGAAAGTAGTATGTCTCATTATGCGATATTAAAGCTGACAGTGCAAGTTAAAAGCTAAAAAAATTGAGATTAAAAAAAAAAAAATGGTTTTGAGATCTTTTTCGTCTCTTCCGACTATAGTTTCTAAGGAGGTGTCGACATTATAGTTTGTCTTTGCTTGGTAACGAGTATGGGTCGATTTGTCAAAAGCCCGATCCTCACTTTGACGACGTGACATTCTGGCGGGTGTCGTCGATAAGCATTTGACATGTGTAACGAAACCCTGTGTTTCGAGAATTTACACGATGGAATGGAGTTGCTTCTCCTGTTATGACAAGTTTGTTGTAGATTCATTGGTAAGGCTGAGGATGAGGTCACTAAACGTCGTGAAGGAAACGACAAATAATCTACCTTGAGGGTGATACAAGAGGCTTCAGTATATTTATATCCTGAAATGTGACGTAAAACCACTATAATTATGACGTTTATGACAGGTACAAGCAAAAGAATGTATTATACTTATACTTATTGTTTTTATTAAAACTACTTACATATACGGTGTAGCTACAAAAACACTATATTTTGATTCCAGGATCATAGAATTGCCCTGTAGCCTTTTGCAAAAATACATCCTAACTGTGACAACATTTTCATAACAAAAACATTTTCAGTGCTGCCCAAATCCTGGCTGTAACTGGTCACAAATCTGTTTGGTCTTTATCTGTGTATCAAAGAGTTGACACCGATGAAAAGATGAGCATGAGACGTTTTCTATGGGATTTGCACCTGTCACTTTGAGTTGACCACCTCCTCGGGTTACTCTTGCACTACATGTACCTTCTCCTCGTATGAGTGGGTCAGAAGGTCAGCTTTCAAGTCTATTGCAGCCCACTCTATACATACACTTGTCTCAGCGCATTAACATCCTGACTTACAGGGAATCAATTTAAATGTAATTTATTGTTGTTTCTGATGTTAAATAGTGCAACAAAACAAAGCTTCAGTCTCTGAACATTAATTATCCAAGCTGACATAAATATCATTCTGGAGGATTCTGACGTCTCAGGCAGAAAGAATGTTTCAAATGTCACCAACACAATTCATCTGCAGCAGGCACCACAGGTATGCAAAATCTAGGTGATAATAAAATATAATCTTGTTCTTTGTTTGACACTTAATATCATATTCACTTTTGCTTTTTTGCAATATTCATAATACAATTCTGTGATGGTTAGTGTTTTGCATTTAATCAATTGTTGTTGATGACATTTAATGAATAACCATAGATTATTTTTGCATAAGTTAAAATTGTATGGTGTAGAAGGTAGCATTTAAGATAGGTTTACTACTTATTTGAAAGACGGATTCCAGCGTGTTACTGTCAATGGGACAACATCCGGTTGGTGTGATGTAACTTCCGGTGTGCCTCAAGGTTCGATACTTGGACCTAACCTTTTCCTTGTTTTTATCAATGAACTGCCATCTATTGTGAAATTTTCTGAAACTCTTATGTTTGCCGACAACAGCAAATTTTTTAAGTGTGTAAGAACGTTGTCTGAGTGTGAGCAGCTACAGAGCGATATAGATAGAGTGCACTGTGGAAAATGAAAGTGAATGTGAAGAATTGCTGCCAGGTCATTTTTACAAACAAGAAGAAATGTATGAATTTTAATTACACTATGAACGGTGACAACCTGAAGAATGAAATGTGCGTGAAAGATCTTGGTGTTTGGCTGACCTCTTCAATGAGTTTTAGTACCCACATTAGACGTACTGTTTCCAAATCAATGCGAATGTTCGGTTTTATAAAACGTACATGTAAAAGTTTTAAACAAATATCTGTTTTAAGGTCTCTATATATAAGTCTTGTCAGGAGTCAGTTAGAATACTGTTGTCAGATCTGGTCTACTTACCAAACATCTTTAATTCACCAGGTCGAAGTTGTCCAGCGTAAATGTTTGAAATTTTTGTATTTATGTTTTAAGGCACACGTTGACTACAATTCCATGTCTTACGCTGACACTTGTAGGCATTTCAATCTTCATAGCCTCGCACATTGGCGGGCATTCTAAGACTGTGTATTTCTTTACAAATGTGTTAATAGTGCTTTTGATTGTCCATATTAAGTCAAGCAAATGTGTTTTTTAGTCCCTGGTCGTAATCTACGATCAATACGTTTTAACCAGTTTTACTACCACAGAAGTAGAATAAACGTTAGAAAGTATAGTATTTTAAACAGGATTCAATGTAATTTTAACTATCTTGATTTTGCACCAGACTGTGATATGTTTTGTTCCTCTCACGCCGAGTTCAAAGTACGGTTAAAGAATATTTGCTATCACTAATTCCTTTTGTTTTACATATGAGTATCTTTTAGTCTGTGTTACATGCATAACTGACTGTGATATTTTATACTTGTGTTGTAATGCTGTTATCCATTCTGTAAGTGGACCTTTGGGTCTGTTGAATTGGAAATAAATAAATAAAAAAATGAATAAATAACTGTTGCTGTTTTAAAATCTGAATAATTCAGGAACATTATGATTGGTATTTAAATCGATAAAAAGGTCATCTGAACGATAACGTCGTTATATTGTTTGTTACTGGCCTACTACGGATCCATGGATGGTCAGTAAAATCCATACGGGTCTCGACCTTCGGCCTCATCCCCTATGGATTTTACTGACCTTCTATGGTTCCGTAGTATGTCAGTAACAAACCTTATAACTAATATTAAAAAGTCCCTTCAACGGACATGGACTTGTAACTTTTTTCGGAACAGTTGACGGACTCCGCGTCACGGCATCAGTTCATGATGACTTGACCTGTAACCAGATGACCTAAACATATTTAGTCGTACAGGTGGATGTTTTATCCTGCAACATGTTTGGGAGGGGCGACTCAGGAACACCTTGTAGAATTTTGTGCTTTCTATCGTTCTCTATGCCTTGGGAAAACGAAGATCAGATGAAAAAAGTAACAAAAAAAGTTCAATAATTTATCGATTTTATTTAAAATCATCCATTCCTCTTTACATATATTAACATCAACAGAACCGTTTGCATATATCACTCTCCTGCTTTTCAAACATATATAAACACGCATTCTTATCACAGATAAAATCGCCAGTATTTTCGTGCTCAACACTCCTCAATCTCACTCTTTCATATCTGTTACATAACGGCGATTGATAAATAAATAGATGGTCCCAATTATTGTTCTTGTATATATGGTCTAAACATCGATCACAATAATATACTAGTTTAGCAATACAAATTAATCTCATCTCGACAGCGGATAAAATTGTTTATGAACAGAACGTACATACTTATACTCATCACAGGTTTTAAATCGTTTTAGTTGTAGTGATGAACACTATTTGGGGGTTTACGATATCATATTGTTCTTCGAATAAAAAAGCTAGCATACTCTTGCTAAACACTTTTCTGGATACTCATGATATATCCGTTATTTTATGATAAACTACTACCAAACTGAAAGCAAATATATAAGAACAAATAATGACAGGAAACCATCTTTTACAGACTGCATCATTAATTAGGACACACAGATTCTTGTTTACATTGAACCTTCACGATTATTTCACTTATAGTTCCATTTGGAATGGATAAATTGTGAACAATTTGAGTTCTGAGACAATATCCAATGAAACGAAAAATGCATTTCTCAGAGAGTTGACAACTGGATTAGGGATGACTCAATCAATGTGACCAAATTAGACTTTACGTGTAACCAATGTCGCAATCACACTTTACAAACATTTACACCAGATTCTTGTCAGACGTGTGTTTTGGTGTCTGTGATGTAACACGCTATAAATCGCCCGCTGGAAATACGGAACCATTATAAGCAGAACACATACACAATATCCAGCACACGAGCACACCTCATTAATGCAACCCAAATGTGTCGATTTTCATTTTAAGGGATAAAAGTCTAGGGAACCAGCGCCGAATTTAGACACTTTATAACCTCAAAAATGTCTTACACCAATAAACCTGGCTGATTTTCACTGATAGGCTGACACTGTTGTCAAATACGCACACCAGGGTGTTTGATTAAGTTCGGTAGTTTTATAACGCCACCGATATTATTATTTTGTTGGGCATGCTGCTCTGGTAGTGCTTGTATTTTTGGCAATGCATTCTGTTGGGTTAATTGGTTTTGTTTACTTGGATGTTCTCTTTGGTTTTGTTGTAGATTTTCTTGGTTCTGTTGTTGATTTTGTTGTATTTGTTGTTTCGGCTTTTGAGTTTGATGTATTTGTTCGTTGTGTTGTTGGTTTTGTTGAATTTGTTGATTCTGCTGTTGCATTTGTTGTATGTGTAGGTTATGCTGTTGATTTTGTTGTGTGTCTTGGTTCTTTTGTTGTACTTGCTGGTTCTTTTGTTGATTTTGTTTTATTCCTAATATGCTTTGTAGTTTTTGTTGTATTTGCTGCTTCTGTTGTTGGTTTGTTGGTATTTTTTGGTTTTGTTGTACTTGCTGGTTGGGATTTAGAGTTTGTTGTTGGTTTGGTTGTATTGGTTGATTGTTTTGGTCAATAGATTGCTTTTGTTGATTGTCAAGTATTATCGGTCTTAATTGTTGATCTTTTGGTAAATTTGGTTGTTCTGGTCGATAATTTTGTACAATTGGTTGAAATAAGTTTTTGCTATTTTGCACATTTGTTTGTATTGGTTGTTGTTGATGCAAATTTTGTTGAACGTGTTGATTTAGATGTGCATTTAATTGTATCGGTTTGTTTGCCTGTTTTTGTTGATTCTGTATTTGTAATTGTTGTTTTTGTTGATTTTGCATTTGTAATTGCTGTTTTTGTTTTTGTCGTTGCTCTATCCGTTCTTTTTGAGCTTCTTTGTTCTGCATTTGCTGTATTTCCTTCTGTAAACGCGATATATGTTGCTGGTCGACCTGTTGCTCCTGGAACTGTTGCTGTAACTGATGTTGGTGTTGCTGCTGATGACTCCGGTTGTACAGACCATTGCTCATAATATACACCTCGTCAATGTCTACCAACAGATACGTGTATAATTTTCGAAGTTCGAGCTTTTGGCGCGAGTATTTAAGGCTGTTTAATCCGTCCTTTTGCAATCGTTTTTTAGAGCCTTGTAATAAATGAAACCTGCAAAATAAGTCTATATATAAGTGTTAATTTTGCAATTTATATTAATAATACTGTGAAATATAATTTGTCACTTTTAATAGCCATCATGATGAATTTGCCCTCATGACGCCAAAAGAAAAGGCCAAAATTAAGCTACGACGATCATTTCCCACCACAAAGGTTAACCATTATGATGAAAATTGTTTAAATGCAACACGAAATATCAAATATTTCGGGTCATGTTATTGTGTATTAATGAGTTTCAAAATCACATATTGGTAATTTTAACTGTATTACGGTCATAAAATGCCTTTTGTTTGGATACAGGACCTGTCGTTATCATATGTACAGCAGAGATTATATTTGGATTATATATTACTCATTATATATGGTCATAATGTCTTCGAAAATCGAAATATAACTAGGACGATTGCAACAACAAAAGCCTTAAATTCAACTTATCAACATCTTTTGAAATTTCTTTTCTGAGTCAAGGTCAGAATAACATTTTTTTTCTTTTGGATTTTTGTTTCATTTATTTGGCTCGTTTTGAAAAATACAGTTTATATTCCCTTGTATTTCACAAAATTGCAGAAATAGTGAAAGACAAAATGTTGAACAAAAAAATTGTTATTCGAACATCAATAACCGGAAAAAATCTATTTTTCTCAAATATTGAATGAATCTGCAATAATTTTACATTTCTGTGTATGAAACAGGTCCAAAACAAAATACAAGCCAACAACAATAAACTACTCACCTGTCTGGATTTCCGTGTTCTTTTCTATGAGACAGCATTTTATAGCGGGAGACGTCGCCAGGGTACCTCGTTATAGACATGTTGTTATGTCGTATTCTGTAACAGAATATCAGATGAATATAAAACCAGAACTGTGAACATGAATTTTGAATAACGTTCCGCCACTTTATTCATAAATATATAAAACTAGCGCCGTAGACATGGAATTATCATCATGCTTTAACATTAAGTATATTGCATGTGCTCGTGTCATCTTTCATAACGCTCTGCGATTTTTCTAATTGTAAACATTTAACTTTGGAATGGTACGCAGCAACAGTTAAAGGAAGATATATGAAAAATCATAATGTACTCTCCAGTTTAATCTGATTCTAATCACGAGAACCGTTGTATATATATATGATTCCAAAACAGGTGAACAAAATAGTTAAAATGAGTTTTAGATATAATCTACAGACCTGGCAAGGTTACATATAAAACCATTATGTATTATTACATACAACACAGTTCAGTAAAATGTTTTATCACTCTGCTATTCTCCAGCGACTGACTACTTGTTATAAAAAAGTGCTTCCTTATACCTACACGCTAGGACGACAGTCTGCTTTATTAGGAGCAGTTATAAAAACGTCAGATAAGTAACATTTAAATAATGACATACATACAAAATAAAAGACGTAAAAAAAATTGCGTTGTACTAAAATACCTGTTAAACATGTCATCGTCTTCCCCACCCCATCCGAAGTACTTGTTGGAGAATCCGTTCACCTGCTGAAACTGCTCCTTTGTCATAGCTACCACGCCTCCAAATATATTGTTGTACGGCAATCTGTTAAAAAGAAACATTTATTATATGGTTGTTACATTAAGGCCCATAATCTTACGTATGTATGCGCTCATTATGTCTGTCTCTGCTATGCAGAGTACGATACATAAACCTCCCTTCGGAGTCATCAGGTCATTTGGATGTTCCAACAATAGTTTCGGTAAAACAAAAACATGAAAACCTCAGATACAATCTAAGATAATGTGGTATGTGCTCCGATTGAGCCTATTTTAATCAAAGAAAAATAATGAAAAAGGCATACATTTCATAATTCTTAAGATTCTTAAAATTATTTGGGTGTGTCCCCTATTGGAATTTGAAACTAGATCTTAGGAACCAAGTAAATTTACGGTACCCGTAATCCGTACGCAAGTTATGAGTGCATTAAGGTAATAGGATTGTGTCGCCATTTCTCAGTAGAATTTCTTCAAAGTTTGTCCTTATATTGCTTTGACGTAAAAAAAAATCTCTGCCACCAAAAAAATATAGGTTGTCAGAATTTTAAGGATTTTAAATGGAAATTTATGTAAAAAAAGAGTGAATTTTGAAAAAATAATTGAAACACAATTTTTTGCAAAATAATGTCAATAAAATGACATAGATTAGTATTGCATTAATGTATATAAATTTCATAAATGCTGAAATTGTGTAAAATTAATTATCTATAAACAATTAAAAATTGACATTTTATAATAAAACCATATACACATAGTAATTGCATGTAAGAGGTATCGTTCTTGAAAAACTTCATAGCAGTGAAATAGGTAGCCGGTGTCCTGAAGTACAGGAAAATGGAGACATGTGACTCATTGATTAAAAAACAACTGAATTAATGCCTGGATTGCTTTGAAATACTTTAATATTGAAAGAGCACACTGGTCTGTCAATAAACAACATACAATGTTCATCAGTTTAATATTAAACATTAGAATATGCGGAAATCGGATACTGTCTCCCTACATTGGGTTTTCAACTAGGGATGTACTTCCTATTTCCACTTAGCAATACACTCCTATGACCTTAATATGTGTTACGGTTACTCGTAAGTTACGTCCGAAACCGCACGTAACTTACGCCAACAAATACCTGGCGTAATTCACACGTACGTGTAGAGGCAACTAATGCAAATACAGATGTTACATGTAAGTGTTAAAGGTTACGCACGGCACGTTACTTACATGCACTTAGTTACGTGGACATTAATGTTTACAGGTATGCGTAAATTTACGTACGTGTCGTGAAACGCCAACCTGGCTGTGTTATCCTATACCCGGACCAAACGAATTGATTAGGTATATGTGCTAGATAACACCACACAAAGGGCACTAAATATCGGCCTTTACAACAGACAAATAATTTGAGCTAAGAGGTAGCTAGGTATGTAGATCTTGTTAACCAAACTATATAAATATATCTTGTGTATTTTATAACTCACAATGTACAGATATTCTAGCTATATTTTGTACCAAACAGTCATGATTTGTCTTCCCCGATGGAGCAAAAATTCTCAGAAAGTTATGAAGTTACAAGTTCAAAGTTAAGTATTAATTATTCCATAACTTATATATTCTAAAAAAAATACCATCTTTACGACTTTATTCAGGAGATTATTTGGTATAAGAGGTTATGACAGATGATGGCGGTGATGTTGTTGTGAGACGATGGAAGTCTTAAATTCTGCTGACAGACAATTGTTGTTAAGAATGGTCTTGACACACGATTGGGGCTTAGGATGATCTAGATAGGAAATACCAGTATTTGCGTTTACCTGCTATGTGTATGTTAACTCAAAGGATCCGAATTTATAGAATTGTGGTTTTATAAGGAAAGGGAGAGAACCTTGATATGTGTATATTTTGTATCGTCATGAACAGGGATAGATTTGTTTGACTGTTAATATGATTCCCGGCGGCAGGTAAAATATTCTCATTAATGTGATGTGTCCTATTTTACTTTTTGATTCTTGCAGACCGCTGAGTTTGACCTTGTGTATTGCAACCGTGACTTACAAAATGTATTTGTTCGTATTGCAACATTTTTATTTTCAGCGTTTATGTTAATTGGCAATAATAACCCAATATTGCGTATTGCAGAGTTATATTCTCTTGTGAGCAGGTATTGATTGTTACGCCATTGATTTGTGAGAGCAACGTCATCAATTGTTGAGAAAACGACGTAATTTTCTCAAACAAACTAATGACGTAACAATCAATACCTGCTCACAAGAGAAGATAACTCTGCAATACGCAAAGACGGAATAAGACTTACCTATAATGCATTGTGTCTATAGCAACTGACATATGACGCGGGTTCTCTGGACAGCTGTACATATTATGTCCCATCTCAGGTATAAGATCCACATCATGGAAAATAAAACACTGGTAATCATACTGTTTAAGGGCCTCTGTGAAACCAATGTTAAGTAGCATGGCCCTGTTAAAGGTTACTTCCGGCATCTAAAATAAAACAAAATTAGTCATAGATAATAGTGATATCATGTCCAAGAATCTGATAACTGATACATTATAAGATAATTTGAGCTAGAATTATCAGTATTATTGGTCATGTAAATGTACAACCTTGTGGACAGTTTACCTTTCTACCCTCAAAGCAAAAGTTGCTAAATTGTGGCATCTCTTGATAACTTAGACAATTTACCTGATAGAAAAGAAATATGTTTAATTTGTTCCCCTGAAACACTGCCTTCATCATAAGTCAATAATAACATCAAAACAAAATGGTGTCAAGTTACGTTAACCTGTTTTGGGAAGAATTATAAGAAACAGTTTGAAATCATATTATTTTGAATGGTTTTTTTTTATATTTAAGAAGATATCTGAATATTTGCTTACCAGATCAACAATAAAGATGGCGTAGTCAAGCTGCTGATTCTGTAGGAATGGATGGAGGTTGTTGAGCAAGATTTTCAGGTGTATCTCACGGTCCCGGAAGGGTAACACTATGGCCACCCTGTGACGGGCTGTACAGTGGGTGGGGCGGTACCGACCTCCCATCTCAACGTTATGGAACTTCTCCTCTAGAGACTCCCAACTATATACTGCTGTCGTTACTGGAACCTTTCCCACTGTACAAAAAGGCAAACACGCTTTTCAAAATTTAATATATAAACATATGTCTACGACAATTCAAACTTTCATTTTTGGCGAACAGTCCAGCATCAATTTTATAACAAACCAGGTCTTTCTACGAGGAGACTATAGTCAGTTTTCAGGAAACACCATATAATGTTTGATATTTCACCCTGTGAAATTGAATTTTATGATTGTTTTGAAATACTGTATCAATTACCAAATTTGATAGGTGCAATTAACTGTGTGTGTCGCACAATCAGCTTGCAATATAATGCATAACCCCAAAAGACACAACTCTTGAATGTCTTGAACTCATTGGTTGTTATCCATTTGATCAAGTCGACGAATCTGCAACTTATGGGCAACAAGGCCTCAGGAATAAACATTGCAAAAACCCAAATTATCATAAAAGATTTAACATATATAAATGTTTCTGAGCGTGGAACTTTCTTGTAAGATGTACACGTCGAAGATAGCTATTGACATTATCTTTAAACTTTAATAAATGACAGGACCTATGAGGCAACATCAAAACTGTGAGATATAATGACATATTGTGTGAACACATTGGTTCTCGACACTTACCTATGGTTGGAGGAATCAGAGGACACAACGGAAGCTTCGTTTCCGGTTCTGTATTCGTCCAAATCCAACTGATTTGTCTGCCTTTGGTAGAACCTCCACGTAATCTCTGAACCGAGCATAGTCCAAGAAGAGATCCCATCATAGCACATTTTGTGGGGTTAAATGTCAAAAGTTCAATAGTCACCACGACAAGAAGAGCGAAAAGAAGGTTTCGGATGTTGATAACATTACTAGTCTTTGTTATGATATATGAACAAGTGACACATGGCATTGTCACAAGCACTGAAGGGTACAGTTCAAACTTGGCACCAAAATCACATTAAGCATGTGCTTAAAACACCGTAATCATTCGTTGTCACAAAAATCTAGGAATTTTATCGCACGTGCAGCGTCTGGTGTATCTGACGATAGCCTTATTACAAACACTTTGTTTAAATTAACGTGACATCAAACACTAATCGTTGATTGGTCAGATTTGTTGACCACAACTGACCTGGGTTTTTTACAAAAATAATTAATATCCCTCAGTTTTCTTTGTTATTTAACGTTGATTGCAGTATTCCAATGTTCAGATGACCATTAAAGCACATGTGGTTCACCAAGTCCGTATTATCCGAGGCCGCTCCTCACCTGTCCAGATCCCATCACGTGGGTGACCCTGTCACTGTACTACCTGTCCGACAATCTGCAATAAATACATGGCTTTAATTTGTCGATCCGACCATATTCATTTCAGTCTACGTTTTATCGCGAAAAGCAAACACTCGCAGTTAAAGTAAGATATACCGTTGCTATCGTGCTGTTTATTATACTGGTTCTTACTGATAGGGTAGTCAGAACTGATATTGTACCCAGTTATTTTCTGACGTTACTTTATCCTGGCCTAATGTTTACTATTTACTTACTAGTGTTAATTGGTATAACTTGAAACATACCGAAATTGTCAAAGCAATGACAGATCGACATTATGTCTTTTCAATTTTCGATTAATTAAGACTATACAGTTTTTATGAGAATTTTGTCTAGAAATGTCAACTTCTCAAAGCTGCTATCGTACTTTTAACCCAAGTGAGCTTATGGTACGTTACGGATTTATATCTGTTGTCAACATGTTTGTCCTAAAACATGATTATTTAGAACCAAACAAACATCGGCTGCAAGTATACATTGATGCTTATAGTGACATGCAAATATCAATTTCTTGTTGATCCAGATGCCATCCCTTCAATTATTTGTCGATGATATAATACTCCTCACAAGACCAAGTCTAGTGTGAGAAGTATTAAGACTAAGAAGGTTGCGTTTCGCTACGTATCTTCAGTCAACATTGTCACTCATACGCACCATGGCGGTACGTAGCTAGACAGGACTCTAGCTCGACGAGTCGCTCCTGTCAGTCTCGATATATTTATTGAGTTAGTGTGATTTATGAGGAGCAATCAAATCACCGGGTTAGTTGTTATTGGTCTACATTTTGATGAAACCATCCAACTGACCTATATACTGTGAAAAACTGTGCTATACTGTTGCTAGTCAGTTTGAAAAGCAAAATATGACTTAGAGGCAGCTCTTACGTGTGGTTTACCGATCAAAGTGGGAAAACCATTCTAACAACTGATTAGCTTTTAACTCAAAATGGAGCGAGATGTACGACAAACTGTAATTTTTGTATCCCCCATCGCTCCTTAAAAATGGTTCGACACTTCGACACTTCGATTATATTGTTAATATTATCAAAAGTCAATTAAGTATTTTTTCACAAAAAGAATGCATCAACCGTGCAACCGTGCAATCGTATATTATTAACAAAGGAACGCAATAATAAATATTAAAATCAAGCCTGCGGTTGGAAAGATACAAGCATTTTGACCTTCCCAATTCCCTAGCATGTCGCTGTCAAAAGTTCCATTTTTAGACTTCTCTGTAGCGATTCCTTCCGCATACGTAATCACGATATGACAAAGCTACATTCATAGATACGAACTCTCCTACATCAAAGTTGTATTCACTCCATCAGAATCTATGAGGTACCGAGCTGCGAAAATTTACTAAACCAAATTATCTGCGCCATTGTAGCACTTTTGAAAGACGGAGTCTGTTTGTACTGATTTAACTGACCAACTTCAAAAATGGATCATTGGTTTGTTTTAACATGGTGCTGTTCATAGACTTGATATGATTTCACAGTCAGACCATTTTGATGGAATATTGTGTCAATTAATAATTGATTTGTTGCTTAGTATGAAAACCAGTATTTGGTGGGAAAATGTCAATTTCTGTCCGCTGAGTAACAACCCATTTTGTTCCGATAAAAATGAAAGCAAACATATTATGTGATCACTTATTGTGAGTTGATCGGTATTGTAACGGTTTTTTTCACTTTTTACCAAGGACCCGCCGTAGTGCTTGGGAACATTGTAGACAAATTCCTTAACTTCTCAGCGAGAGCGTAAACAAGTAGATATTATATACACAATTGTTTGTCAACAAGAACTTTCAGCAGTGTGTAGAAACCTTCTTTGTATATATACTCCTAGTATTCTATCATCAAGGTACATCATTGCTGTGGGGCAACCTGATTTTTAAATACCTTAGGTCGACACATAATGTCAACATCAACATAAACTTCACTGATGATATATATACAGCATATCCAAGCAGAAATATTTAATTAACTACTGTATTGTTATTTTGACCCAGCAGATTCACTAAAGTTGCGTCATGATAAATTACATCAACTATTAAGCCTTAACATTAAATGTCCATGTACAACGTGGGTAATTAAGAGTGTTTGAAAAAAAACACACTTATACCGTCGCGACACATGCATAGCCTTTGAACGAAATGCAATGTATTAATACTCGCCTTGGAAAATATCTACTACTACTTGTAGCTTCTCGGTCGGTCAATCACACTCATCAATACAGCTAACAAAATATGAATTTATCAAGTACATGTCTGTTAAACGGCAATTTACTCACCAGTCAAGGCACATCACCAAACAGAGAAAGGGCGTTCCTAAATGTCTCGTTTTGATACAGTTTACACATATAATGTCATTTGATAATCTGTTTTGTCACGTGGATTCCATACTTGATCCTATCCATATCATTTTGACAGGTAGTATAAATAATTATCCCATTCTTGCGCGTGTGTTACAGAACTGTCTAGTGCAAAAAAGGGGCTACAAAATGTCTATGTACACTCCATTTCACGTCCGTTACGTCACAGTGGAACAACAATGGCGCGATGTCACGAAATAAGGAAAATATTTTATTTTATTTCTAAATTGAAGCAAAACCCTCGGAGAGTTCAATCAATTAATTGAATAACATATTATAACATACAAACGAGGAGAGTACCAAAAGTTTACAAGGAATTACATAATGTATATACTCACATTCTTGGCAAGGTACTAACTGGTCGACAGTGAATATTTTAAAGTCAATTCGTACAAAGTTATTGGTATATGTGTAACTTTCAAACGGTATTAATGACTTATTTTAATATGATAAATCCATATAATCTTCATTGGTGACATATGTTATCGAATTTCAATTTATTTATTAATTTATTAACATAAGTCTTCCGGTCAAAAATTTGATCCACACATAAATACATACATAAATACGTATATCAAGATTTACATTTTATAAAACATGTAAATAGTTTAGAGAATTGGTCAATAATTCGTTTTTAAAGCAATTCACATTGTAATTGGGGATTTTATCAAGTTGTTTTTAATCATGTTGATTTATTAAATCAGTTTATATTAACAATGATAACTAGGTATAATGGACTTCCTTGAGGAAATTACATTTAATTATTAAACAGCAGTTGACTTCGACTTCTTTTCCATGAAAAAGGTACAGAAACATGTACGTTCCTATTAGCGTTGAAATAGATAATCGATCATTTTTTTTTTTTTTTTTTTTTACAAATGGCTATCGCCTGTGCTATAATGTGAATGCCTGCTGAGGTTTCCCACAACATAGTATTTTCAATAAAAACAATCTGTTTAAATACTCTGACATATCAAACACATACACAATCTTATCTTTCAGTCTGAATGGGTACTGCAGCATAATGCTTTGTTCAGTTGCTAAACATTGGTTACTCCAAGCATACAAAGAGATATTCTTACTCAGATTTATAGTAATATAAGCAGATAATATTTGTAATTGTACATTATCATCCCTTATGTTTTTTTTCTAAATGACAACTATACATAGTGTTTTATACCATCAAACATAATGTATGTAACGTACTCCTGACATATATAAAGGATATGGTGCTTCTATACTAACAGGCGCATAATGTATGTAACGTACTCCTGACATATATAAAGGATATGGTTCTTCTATACTAACAAGTGCATAATGTATGTAACGTACTCCTGACATATATAAAGGATATGGTGCTTCTATACTAACAGGCGCATAATGTATGTAACGTACTCCTGACATATGTAAGGGATATGGTGCTTCTATACTAACAGGCGCATAATGTATGTAACGTACTCCTGACATATATGAAGGATATGGTGCTTCTATACTCACAGGCGCCTTAGAATTAATCGACTTAATTTATAGTGTGGTGGAGAGGTATGTAGTCAGACCACTGAATTCGATTAGACTGTTTTATAAGTCTGTTGTAAGAGATTTAACAAGATAGACAAGGGTTACTACAATGTCAATTTATCATGTAACTACAATACATCAGGACTAATATGATACATAGGGTTACCTTAAAAACAAAATGGAGGATATCATATTGAGTCCGGAAAAATCCACAATGATCATAAATGTCACAGTCACTGAATAGCTTTTCCTTTGTTCTGCTATAAACGTATAGTGAAAGGTGGGGTATTCATGCATGGATGACTACAAAAATATAATAATATGGTTTTCATGTATGGATGAATATATAAGACAGATTGAGAGTTTAGATTTCAAGTATAGATGATTACAAAATACGGGAAGTATGCCTTTCGTGCTTAGAGACTAGCAAACGACATTAATAAACCAAACACCAATCGCACTGTTAGGAATAGAATATGCAAATATGGAATCATTGCTTTCTACATCAACATAAATATTGGTATCAATTAAAGTTGTTGACATGGGGTCACTCATCTTTTAGAAATCCCCGTGCCACTGCCAAGACTATTAAAAAAAAATTGTGGGGGGCGGGTCGGGGCTGTACTATATATTTTATAAGTCATTTCTGAAAAGAAACCATACCTTGCTAAACTTGAATGAAAAATAGAACAAGGAGGAAAACAAATAAAATATAATCAACAACAGCATTTTTTTGAGTGTGATATACAACATGGCCAGACTAGGATTCGAACCTCCGACATCTCATTGCTACCAGGTATACTGTCGCTTAACCAACGAAGCTACTTAGTCAGTGAATGTGCTATTGCCCAGCTGCGCTACAGCTGTAGTCGAGACGTAATTAAGGGGAGGTTACGGTGTTATCAGGAAATAAACCACAGTGGAATTTCTCGTGATTTTGCTTGCAGTGGGGCATGCATCCTTAAAGTAGGGCTTTGTTTTAGCTCACCTGTATATGATATAGCAGTAAGCACTACAATTAAACCGACACAGGTGTGCTTAATACGTCAGCTATAGCTGTGATTCTTACTTCCCGTACATACGTATTATATACATTGGTATGTGTATGGTTTTGCTCATTTACGAGTTCATAAGCATATGAAAGTGTAAGAAATACGCTGAAGTCTGACAAGTTCAGTAAAAGACTTTCATTATATAGTATTAACGTTGTATCACTAAATTGATCACTCTATGCAACTTAATAACTATATTATGTTATGCGCTATATACAGCAAAATATCGGAGCGTTTATGAGTATGACACGTCAACAATATGTCTGATGTATTCCAAAGCAGATACAAAATGTATAAATGTGATCTATGACATTGCATGTTTGTCAGATTACAACTCTATGGTAATTATTTAAGATATCAATAATTAAATGTACAACACTATGGGAAATATGAAATTAAGAGTAATTAAAACTTTACGGGAATAATTTATAGCTAGGGATTTGTATAGCTGAGTGAACTCTTGGAATGTGTGAATGTTTATAAAAAAAAATACATAAGACTGATATTGCTTGAACATTAAACAATTACTCAAATTCCTGTCTTTTCTTACCATCCTTGAAAAATATGAATAGCGAATAGAACGGCATGTTGTGTCTATTATCATGGGTTTTGATTCCGAAACATGTTCATATTATGTTTGTCTTTGTGTTAAGACCAAGAAAATATATCGAAACGTTAATCAGAAACCTAATTATTAATTAATCATATTAGAAACCTACCTAGGAAAGGAACCAGTTAGACTTGTAGATCTTATTTGATGACGTATCTTACCTGTTTCTGATTTAATTCCCCCGCGTACACGACAAGCCTGATGAATGTGTCACACTCGAGTTACATCCGTTAAAACTTTTAATAAAAGTGAGAAGTTGGCGAAACTTAATTCAATCAGTTATCTCAAAATGTCGACTCTTGTCACTGGATTGTAAAATCGAGTTTGTCTCCCTCCTGTTTTAAAAAAAGAACAGACACTCGCGGCTTGGAATTCACCGGTGCGTTTACACCTGTCCACACGTGAATACTATACAGGTACTACATTAGCCATTGTAGAGGTAAATGAGACGTACATTTGTATATATACGGAAGCACGGTCGCGCCAACGGGAGTTATAAGACAATGATATATATCATTGGTTAACTTTCTTAAATTGTAATAAAACATTGCTTGGTATTTGTAAGACATATTTATAGTATTCCAAATAGTGAGTGGAATTCTTGATTTGGATATTTTGAAAGAAAACAACACATTTTGAAAAGAAAATATATGTATAGTACTATATTCTTATTGTAGTTGCAAACTCAAAACGTTTACTTCGAAATATATGACACTAGCATTGGTCAACCAGACACTCCCCATGTAAGTAAATGTTTTGAGTTTATTGATAAAAAATATACATAACTGGTCGTATGAACAGCGTATCAACAGTGAAAAAACACGCGTCAAATGGAAGAAGAAGCCGTTGGAATAAAACCAAGAGGGAAAAATAGACAATCCAAGCCGTTACAGTTACGTTTCAATCCGAAAACGGGACCGTTCAGTACCTCAACTACATGCATACGTAATAATCCCTGATCCTGGTCATGTAAAGGACATTTGAAGACAACTGAAGCAAAAACGAAGCCAGAAGAATTTGAGATGTTAGGGCGACGTTGGTAAACGATTAACAATCTATACGTCTTCGCAAAGGCTTAAGTCATATTTCAGCGGATACATCCATAGGGTACTGAACTTCCGCTTATACATGTAGAGCTATATACGACAATCAAGATGGCGCATCATAATAGACACGAGTTTATGAAATAATATCATGGTAACATTTTAACTGTTTCCCTCCCGGTTCTCCATATATATATACATGTCACGACGTTTTGTCTCTGACAACAATCACATATATAAAGTACATATCATAATCTGACGCTCGCCGCACGAGACCCTGTCAATCAAACTGCAAACGACGGCTAATGGCTGTATATGGGGATGTATGAATCCATATTTGTATACGAACACCATTAACCTTTCCATCGTCCGTTGTGTTAGAAGTAAACATTTGTATGGTATTGTTTGGGGACTTATTTTATCGATGACGGATTATTATTATATATTTATAAATATTTATTATTCTAGATTACAATTATTCACTTATTTATGAATAGTAACTGGGTATATTACATGAATGGCTATGTAAAGAGGACACGAAGTAGTTAAATATATAGCGCAAGCAATTATTTATGTGTGTTTGATTACTTCCCCTCTCTGTTACAAAAGCATTGAGCTTCCTAGGCTTCAGGAATCCCCCCTCCTTTTTGAGGCTAGAATCTTTAGATAATTTTATTTTCCCCTTTTTTCATATTTGGACTACCCAATCCCAATCTAGCCCTCAATCATTGCTTTATATAATATTTCTTTCAGATACCATTAGATCATGTCTGCATCATGGAAGACGCCACGATTTCACGAATAACATAATAGATAATGTAACACTTCATTATATATAATCTCTTATCATGCTATTCTATATGTGTCTTCTTGCATAGATCTCAATGGTTTCACCATATCATGTTTTCCTCGCTAAATCTATATATCTGACTAATGTATTACTGGAGACAATGTCAGCGCGCCTCACATAACAGCCTTTTATATCTAGGGCTGACGGATGACATACGGCCCGGGGGTAAATGCGACGTCTTGTAGCCCGTAGCGGCGGTATACATGGTAAGTAATACAGGTGTATCTAATTATAAATAATGTGATGTAAGAGAGTGTGCAGAAATTCCCCGGACGCGACAAAGCTGTAAACGGTATTGTTGTGTACGGGGTTATACATATATATAACTCATCAATCGGAGGAGTGTCTACCGACGGAACATTACACTCTCTAAAAACGGCCATTTTACATCAATGCTGACATGTTTGAAATTTTAGCGTAAATGTACATGTTATAGGATGACTATCACACATAAAATATTTTAATCGTTGAGTTCGTGATATGAAATAACATGCAGAGACATGTAACCGGTCCTTTTTTATATAATTTAAAAACTGATTATCCTCGTATCCTATCTGCACTTTCACCCTAATTATAGGTGACGTAACATGTGATTAATTAATTTGTACCAGACACGTATATATATACTGAACTACACATGTCTCTGTACTTACAATCCCTCGTAGGTTCACGATCCGGAGATGATCCGATACGTATAGGAGGAAACCAATGTTACAGTTTCTCTGCTCCAACTAAAATGGCTAAGTTGTAGCCAATACATTCTACAGATCTTTCTCTATCTTTTTCTCTCCTTTTTCTACAAAATGTTTCCTCGTGATCGACATGTGGTCCTGTATCACTATATAGGGAACGACAATATAACTTATGCAAAATGTCTTAACCTCATTTTCTCTCCCTTTTCTACAGTCCTTAATTATGTTGTTCCCTTTGCATACCAACTGTTTCCTCATGGTAGGCCATGTGGTCATATATGACCTATTACGAGTTTTGATCTTGAATAAACGAGTCGGAAAACGTGGGTAGAGGTTGGCCGAGAGCTACTAAATTTCACCAGGGCAAATTAAAAAAGAAAAATCTATACAAAGAAGGTCGGTATCTATTTACTTTCTGGACAGTTATCAACAAATTATAACTTCGGCTTTTTTGCTGTTAATATATTTATGTATATATGTGTGTTAATAAGGAATTGTGAATGATTATAAACGGAAGATGTATGGGGCATCATTTTCAAAACGGATGTAAAACGAGGAGTGATATTTTGGAATGAGGATATTTTGAAGCTACTGCATAAATGTCAGTAGTACGCGTACGAGTACATATATATAGGTACACGTGTTTATAACGTAATAATAACAAAAAGTTTGTCGAAAAGTAAAATAGTTTAAGTCATGCGGTAAGTATTTCATTTGGATTTGTTTTCAATACATTTCAATGTGTAACAGGACGAACCCGCGACCCTTGGCTTTCCAGCCCGATTGCTCTAACGTTTAGCTAAAGGGAAATTCCCTACAGCTGATGCTTGTAAGGCAACCTTATCAATGCACATTTGAACCTCGTGCCCCTGTAAGTAGATCTGCTGAGACAAGCCCGTTTTATGGATGTTCGCTTATCTCGTCTTTTATGAAAAACGATTTCATCTTTTTAAACCAGTTATGCACAGAGTCGTAGCTAAAACGTTTTTAACACATCAACAATAAAAAATAAAATATATGCATCATATTGCTATCAACCGTCTTTGAAAACAAGGTTTTCCCTAGTATTCCAAAAATAAACAATGGCTTACTTACTTAGGAAAGGAAATCGCACAAACGCTTACTCCCTACAGTCCGTAACGTGGGAGGGAGTATCCGAGTTTCAATTAAAGTTTAACAGTTGAAATGTACGTGAATGTCTAGTAAACATACGTACGTGTACTCATCATTACACGTTTTAAGTATGTAACTCATCCAATGATCCCACGTGACAATAGGTAAAGGTAAGTGCATTCCCAAATGGACATTACAAAACTATGATTGATGCATGTCTGATGCATTAATTATAGGCTATGTACGTGTGTTGTAGACTAAACTGACACATGCTTCGTCTATAGTACATACTTACAGGTATGACCAACAATGGCTGTTTTGTCTCAGTCCACCACTTAATCTTATTTACATGTATCAATGCATCCTACGGGAGTTTTTTACACTATATATTCACTGAGTCATCATTAACGCCATACATCTCTAGTTACGTGTGTACATGGTAGATCAGTCCGGAATTAACGATATTAAGATAAGACTCGGTAACGTCTATACCACACATGTACACAATTTTTGAAACTTCAGTTTGTGACACAAAACATGAAACAAAATAAAACCATATATCACTATTTTGTTCTTTCCAAAGTGTTTTGACATTTACTTACCTCATGACTAGTCCAAGGAAGTTTAACAACAAAATGATTCGTCTTCCGGCAGCGTACAAAATCCGTCGCCATCTTGGATACACTTTGGGCCTGGCTACAGAAGCTGTAGTATCGGGTTACATGTATATGCGTAGCAACCGTCTGTGTTGGGGGGAACCTGTGGAGAGGTTTGGAGGGGGGTATATGGAGAGTAAGTGTGTGGGGACGGTATGTTAACGTTATTCCTTGTAAAATGCAATCAACGTACATGTACATTTTACTTCACATATTACCTATACATTGACATAGCATTGCACGTTCATCTATCTCTACAATTAACTACAACTTTTTACCTGTTTTGGTCACGTGAAAATAATGTATGGCAATAAGTAAGAAGATTTATGATTTTATATTTTGAATCTCAGGTAGAACGTTAACGTTCCTTATTTGTATAAACATATCATACACATACATTGGGCTTTATGGCTACTTAATATTAGGAAGGTATATTAATGTACGCATACCTTGACCGTACGGTGCATGCATGTCTTATACAAGCTCAGTTCTGCCCCAAAACAGATATTTTTTGGTGGATTCTCGCTTATGATGTATCTACATAAATATATCCTATTATATATCGGTGAGAAAGCGCAGGGGCCGTGTTTGTTGTTTTGACCACGGAAAAGTTGCATGAAAGAATTTTCTATTTAAAAGGTATTTCCACCTGAAATTCGGAATGTATACATACCTATATCTATGTATAGTATGTACAATCAATTACAAACTGCTGATTTGAATTGAAACAATCTGGAATTATGGTCAAAATACAACGTAATTTTGAGCAACATATGAAAGCAATTATGCACGGTAAATCTAACTCCCGTTGTTCTTGTTCATTTGGTTTTAATCAGCAGTATAATAGTTTATCAGCTTGATACATACATACATGTATTTACATGTATTTAATATCATCGTGTAATTTTATGTAAATATGCTGTTTTTGTATTCATGTATGCAATGGCTGACTTGAGTAAACAATGAAAGTTGTGTTGCAAAAACGCGTGTTCGCGTGAACGTCCTGGTAAATGACTAATCAAACAAAACCTGGTTGTATCGTATTTTCAGTCAGTACAATATTAAGGATT